TTTCGGCTTGTTCGAAATTGGGTGCGACAGTTGACACCAGCATAAACACTCGATCTCTTACCTAAACTCTAAGGCGCTCACTCTCTAATCGACATAACTCTTGTGCTTACTCTAAGCAGTACGAGCCTCTCCTGAATCACCTAATCTTTATCCATAGAGTTAGGCAACACGTCAGTGACCTAAGGGCCTAATTTTAAAAGCATTAAACTAGCACATCGAAGATTGAACTCCTTCTATATAATGCCTCAAATAGAGCCATTTGAATACTCAAACATTAGCTATTATTATGTGCCAACTCTACCAAAGAAAAAACTAGTCACACAGACATCGGAAATAAATTACACAAGCCCAAACCATATCTTCCACAACCTAAATAGTCCTTTTTGGACTGATTGTCTATCTGCGGATGAAATGTTGTGCTAAGATTAACGCAAGTACTCAATTCTCTCTAAATCAACCTCCAAAAATATGATGTGAATTAAGTACCATGATCTGAAATGATAGACATTGTCACCTTTTGCAAATTGATACAATCTCCTGAATGCAACCTCTCAACCTCTCAGAAGAGTATAAAATCTAAACTGGTAGAAAGTGAGAAGACCTGGTCAACCTATCAATGATGACCCAAATAACATCAAATGTATGGAAAGTTTATGGCAATCCTACCATGAAATCCATATCCACTCCCACCTTCACTCAAGAATGGGTAGCCTTTGAGTCAAATGACCTAACCTCAAGTGCTCGTACTTACCTACTGACAATTCAAGTACTTAGACATAAAATTTACAATATCTCACTTAATCCAACACCACCATTAGACTACTACTTCTTGTGTTTATCCTTTCCCTTCTCTTTCTCCTCCTCATTCTTCTTATTCATCTTCCTCTTCTCCCACTGCTCCTTCTCCTCCCCCTACTTTTCCTTCTCCTTCTCCTGCTTCTTTTACTTCTCTTTCTCCTCCTTCTCCTCCTCCTTCTTTTTCTGCTACTCCTTCTTTTTCTTCTTCTCCTCCTCCTCATCATCCTCTTCTTTCTTCTTTGTCACTACCACCTACTCCACATGCAACCATGGAAAATCATGATGAATAAATATTACTAAATATGAAGAAAATAAAACAACTCATCACACCAGCAAACTAAGTACACGTGTTATTGTACTTATACTACTCTTGTTTTATATTTTTATGCATTGCCTAGGCCTATCAAACCCCGTGGATTCCACTTATCTGAGGTTATGTATATAAAAAGTTATGGTGAGATACCTATCATTTGGAGAAAATCTATCTTCTTATATCATATTTACCTATTTTTTTACCACTTCAGACAGGCTTATATTTTGAAGTATATGTATTTAGTTTGATGATCTTGAACAACTAGTAACACTAAATTATGGGTGTATTTTTTTACCTTCACACTTCTATTATATCTATGAAAGCATTGAGTTTTTAAACTTGATTTTGATAAAGTTATTACTTTTGTATGATAGTTTGATATTAATTTTGGTGGAGGGTTGACTTTCCTACCAATGGGATTGTGCAAGTGCCATCATGCCTTAGATTTTGAGTCATCACACTTCTTATTTGTGAAAAAGGATCATTCTTCTTTAGTAATTATCATCCCATATCTAAAAACTTCAATCGGTATATTATTGTCAATCTTTAACGAAAAAATATTATAATTAATCAGAAGTACTCATATATTTCCCTACGCCATGCTTGACGTAAACTTATCATAAACTTTTTTATCTATCAAAATATTGAATTATGATGCAATTTTTTTTCTAAGGATATACTAACGTCTTTTGTAAAGCATATTTTCTATAAACATTTTCTACCAAATATGCCCGTGTAAAAAGTTAATTATTGTGTTTTTGTAACATCTCGCACCTAGAAACGACTATAAAGAGTTTAAAAATATGAAAATATTGATTTTTGGAAAGCATGTGGAAATTTGGAAATTTTTGTCTAAGTTAAGAAAGTGAGTTTTGGTCATTCTCAAACGACCATAACTCCTAGCTCATGGTGAGTTAGAAGTAGTTCCTGATATGGTTGGGAAGACCTTGGGAAGATCTTTCCAACGCCGCCAATAAAAAAGACTTTTTCAAAAATCCTTCGCCCGCCTATTCAACGGGGCTATTAGAGAAACTGCTTCGTTCCTTGACTTCTTTTCTCAGTCAACCTTCTACATGAGCTTCGGGTAACCAAATATGAACTGGTACCATAGGCACTTTGACGGCGAAAGAGGCAAAAGAAGCAATCCATAGAAAGATTTGGCGCCGCTCACTAAATTCTGTGGTTAATGAGATTTTTAAATTGGTTGTTCCTGTTTGGAAGTTTGCACGATTTCGACATCGTATAAGTGAGATATGCCTTTCGAAAGTTGGGTTGTTGGATTGAGGAAAGTCCCAATCCGGATTTAGGTAAGGGCAAAGTAGTTTTTTCTCTAATTAATTTCCTAATTCATTTTTAGGGATTTATTGGGGTAAAAATAGAACTTGATTCAGTTTTGGAAAAATTAGAATACGCTTAGGGCTTGGAGAAAAGAGGAAAGAAGAAAGAAAGGGAGAAAAGCCAAGATTTCGCCAAGAACGTCAAGTGTTTGAAGTGGAATTCGTCGGGGGTGATCCCTTTTAGTGTATGTGAGATCTTTTTGTGTTGGGTTAGTTCACCCACACAGCAACTTGTTTCAATTCAGCGATTTGGAGTTGTTTGAATGTTAAGAAAGAGAAGTTATTGAAGAACATTGTTGAATTCTTGTTGGTTGAATTCTTGTTGGTTGAGTTGATTCATGTTCCAGGCTGTTTTTCGAGTTAGATTGGTTGTGTATTGAGAGTACAATTGATCCTAAGTGTTTGGGGAAA